AGATCTCGTTCATACATTCATAAAGAAGAATTCTCGCTTTTAGATTTCATATCGAACATCTGTTCAATTGCTCATTTCCCAGCCACCTCGTGCCCCTCGTTCCTTCTCGTCCTGACTCGCTAGCGTGTCTACCACGTGAACCTCTCAACGCGTATCCCCAGGGACAGCGCGTCGCCTCAAACACTGGATGAGATAGAAGGATTTCAGTCGACAGGAACTTACTGTCGATAAGAAAATTTGGGTGACTTACGGCAATTTTTCAAACGCCCCACTTCAACAACCTACTTTACCAAAACGACATGAAGGACGGCAACATTCTACACTGGCTGCGGCGAGAGCAACCCACGCGAAGTCAAACGAAGGCGATGCCTACTTCCCCACAGACAGCTCCGAATGGCCACGTCTCGAAGCCAAAGGCGGAAAAGATCCCACTCGCTGCAAGAATCACTCGAAGTGCAACTGCCGCACAGAAAGTACCAATTGCTGCAAGAGTCACCCGAAGTACAACTACCGCGCAGAAAGTACCAATCGCTGCAAGAGTCACCCGAAGTGCACCTACCGCACAGAAGAAGGCAGGCGGAAATGCGGCGCCATGTGGTCGAGGAAAGGACAAGAAACCAAGGAGGAGGCGGACGAAAGCGCAACTAAAATACGAAAGACTTCAACGCGCGAGGAACGATGCTGGTGCTGCTGAAGCAGTAGAATGCACCTACCCAGAGGAGAACGCCAACACACTGCCATTACCAGTTGGGATGGATGCCTCAGGAGCGCGCCTTCCTGCGGAAGTAGCATCGGAAAGCAGCATCAACAACTCACCACCTGCTCTTTTCACCGCATCACCACTCACCTCAGTGTCTCGCCCACATCTACTCGAAACCAGACTTCAACAACAGTTCTTAGAAGAAGACAAGCAGCAGCAGACCAGAGAAGTAAGAATACCCAAGCAACGGACTACGATGACAAGCAAGAGAGCAGCCAAGAGGCAGCGCAAAGCCCGGAAGGCCCGCGAAGAAGCCCGTGAAGAAGCCCTCGTCTTCATCAAGAGCGAGTCTATCGATGGTTCCCAAGACGCGCCGCGCAACTTCGCCTACGACACTTCAACCGGATCCCCGTCATACCAGTACTCAAGCTCTCCCGCGCGTCAGCCATGGGCCGCGCCGAAGCGAAACAGCATCATCGACCTGATCAGACTATGCACCTACCCCGGCCAAACAATCCACCCAAACTCCGTCAACCGACTCTTCATCCTCCAGCGAGACATCGACGCCGCTATGGACGGCCAGGGTCGTCACGTATGGATTCTACGAAGGCTCCCACGCGACATCACCTTGACGGTGGAACGAAAGGAAGCCATCTGGCTGGCACAAGGGCAGATCAACCGGGTCGTGGATGAACGAGGACGCTCACGCAGACGGCTGAAGCTCGATCGATACGTGCCAGCCGATCGCTGGGTCACAATCGATCGCTATATTCCCGGCATGCCGTACCCTCTCCCTCTGCGCCGCCACGCCATGCCGCGCATGAGGGTATTTTCGAGATCATATGCGTAGCTGTACGGACGTCGTTTTGTTGCTTTCTTTCTGGGCGGGCTATGTAAGAGGGACAACAACGTGCCGCAATATAGCGGATACGCACAGGACATCACAGGTCGGGTCTGTATGCCTTTTCAGAGTGGCGCATGAGAATCAGGCGGACTCCACGTCTCTTCAAGTCTTCTCTTTCGTCATCGCAGGAGGTTTATTAATTGGCTTGCCATCTCGAGGAGGACAGGTGTTCTTCTTTCGTTCTACTTCGATACCGCCACATGGACATCTACCCCCAGCTTCAAAAGTCCACACTTTTCCCAATCTCAGCAAAGCAAGTAATTTAATCAATCTTTCGGACTTTGTGATTCGTTTCCATATTGTGAATCATCACCTAGCTTGAGGGCTTGGTGTCAGTGATGATGTGTATTCTCCAAATGCATAACCTCGTCGCAGTGTCTTGTACGCAGCAGTTAGAAACGCATTAGACTATGACAAATGTGAACCAGCCGCGTCTACCGTAATTCAACAGGCATTTATTTTACGCGTCGTGCATGTTGCAGTCATGGTTTCTCTCATTCGACGAATTGCTTTCATTTGGTCCTCGTTCGATGTGGGACAACCGTGAGTGGCTCAACGCTACAAGTCATCACGAACCATGGTACAACAAGGTCCTGCACATGGAGAGCTTGTGCAAACTCTATATATCTTCATACAGAACGTAATATCCGAAAAGAATATTGGGTTGCATCCTACCGCCAGGTGAGAGTACGCAGGTACATTCTGCACGTACCTTCAGGACGACTCAGTGAAAGAACCACTGACTACCCTATTACCTGACTCACATCGATCGCGCCTAACTGAACAACTTTACCGACGCACTTGCTTCCCCACTTCACATGTCGTACATCCGAAACAAACATATCATATCATTATGGCGCCGATCCCGATCGCCACCGCCAGCGCCCTTCACTCCGCCAATGCGATAACCCGCCCGCTTACCGACAGCAGAGCCAGCGCTTTAATACTTGGACCGGGACTTTACCCTCATTTTGTCAACTGGCAAGCCAACATCGACGACCCCGAACAACAGGCGCTCTACCCGACCTGGCAAGCATGGAAAAAGACCGTATACGCAGTTCAGCAAGAAAGCATCGGCGGTATACCCAGTCCGCCAGTCTTCAAAGCGTTTATGAACACACCGCGCGTTAAAGAGCATTTCCACGGTCGTGACGAAGACCTGTCCCACATCTTCACGGACGTCGACGACGAAGAGGCAGAGAGAGGACCATCGGACCTCCTCGTCGCGCGCGTCTGCAAACACACCATCCACCCCGGTAACCCATGCGTCGAAATCGGAATTTGTCCAGTCTGCATCATGAAACAATGTCTCGCTTCTCTCGAACGCATCGCGCATGTCTGGCGCATCGTCGGTGGACCTTATAGGCCAGGTCGAAACGAAGCGGGGGTGCATATTATTGACCCTGAAGAGTATGCGATATATCTTGCGGCGAAGGGGTTGTGGATTGTGGAGAAAAAGAGGTGGGCGAATTTGGTTGATACGTATGAGGATTTCGCGATGGGAGAGAGGGCGTGGGAGGAGGACTCTAGACGGAATGGTCTTGCGATTCCGGTGGCGGTGACGGAGGCGAGTAGTTGTATTGAAGCGCTGGAGCTGGCGGGGCAGAGTCCATTTCTTGGGGAGGGGTGGAGTGATGTCTTCGTCCCGACGAGGCATTTGAGAAAACGCGGCGAGGGGAAGAAACTACGAGACGACTCTGTTAGCAGCGATGCACTGCCGTGTTCTCTGCCTGAGACGCCTGGGACGGAGTCAGAAACGTTACGGTACTCCAAGGGGTCTTCCGATAGGACAGAGGAGGCAGACGACAGTACCGCAGACTACTACCTCAGAGATCATTCAGACTCGCCGCCTGCCGACCGCGCAGCCGCCCGAGCGGACTCTCCGACCGCCTCTCCCCGAAGTAAGACTTCCGCCAATTCGACCGTCTACACATCTTCTCCCCCACCGCCATCCTCTCCACCCCAAAGTCGGTCCTCTTCCTTTGTACCATCCACTCCCATGATCGGCGTATACTTCCCGGACGACCTCCCCTCTCCCTCCACTCGACGATCCTTGTGCTATAATCGCACTTCCAAGTCCTACGAGAAAGGCAAACACGCAAGTCCATACGGTAGTATCAAGGTCGATACGAGCTTCGCGAACAACTCCGCATACGACGAGTTTGGAGTCGCCGAAGAAGAAGAGCTGAAAATATTGACAGCGGCTCAAGATGAAACCCCTCAAACGGATGAAGACATGAACAAAGGTCGTTTCGCGGGTTTCACAGACGTGGATCTAGACTCGGAAGATGACGGGACGGAAAGTGAGTGGAGCGATACTACTGATGAAGGAGATGGAGAGGAAGATCTCATGATGGTTGTGGGTAGGAGCACCGTGGGTGGAAAGCGGCTGCCGGGTCAAACAGGGGAGGTAAATTTCCAACGACCGGTGTTTACGTTTAGTTGGCCAGGCCGGGGAGAAGTGGACGAAGAGGGCGATACGGTCTCTGATACAGTCTCTGATACTAGTTCAGATGAGTTTGATGACGATGAGGTGGAAGAAGCGATGCGGGATATGGATGAAGTGGATGTGGTATCGCTGGCCGAACCGGATTTCCAAGTAACACCTCGTCGCCGGAGTCATGACGAATTGGTTGAATGCGAGGAGGTGGATGAAGAGGATCGCGTTAAGAGATCGCGCCTGTAGGAGAGGCTCCTTTGACCGCTGCAATCGTTGGGTACCGGGAGACCGACTGGAAAGCTATTTGTACACACGTATGCGGAAGAGCGTCGTTAGAAGTACTATTCATTTTCGAAAGTTCAACTTTTGCTTGGTTGGAGTGTGCAAAGTGCCCAGCCCACGATGTTGCAGTCACACAACAAAGTACTAGTGTTATTGAGCTCTTTAAGAGTTGGCTTCAGGAGAGTCAGATATCCTACAGGCCTTGATCAGTCTTTAAGCCATGGCTTCAAACGAAAGTCCTCTAGGAAACAGGTTACGGAGTTTCCAATTGGGACGCAGATTCTAGAAGGTTACATCTGTAAGTCGTACATGGGGTTGATGAAGTTCAGTAAGCTGTCGTTGTCATTATAAATAGCTGTTAGACTTCATGATCGAAAAGAGTGTGGCATGTTTCGCGCAGGGGCCGATGCAGGTGTGATGTAAGAGACGCGCCTGCTCCTAGATGAGGCTCGTCGGCGGATGTTTGGACCTAGCGCAAGGCGGTGGCCAAAGCGCCCCAGCTCGGAGTGTGGATCTCTACATCACTGACGAGCCGCAACACGACCAAACAACGTCGCCGCCCCATCCCACGCCTTCCCCTCTCGCATCTGATACTAGTACTCGCTGTCTCTACTTTACCTTGGAGATAGCAAATACCCCGACACCTGACAGATAAACCCCACGACCCCGCCACCATGTCTCGCGGAGAAGTGCTCAAGGCCGACAAGGACTTTACCAAGGAGGTCGATGCGGCTATCCCAGAGGCGGAGAAGCTAGCTTCTGTATGTCTGATGGCTATCAAAGTTGAAGCGAAGCTAATGTAGTTGACCAGAGCAACCCGCAAGCTGGAATCGACAAGCTGCTCACGCTCGAGAAGCAGACTCGTCAGGCACGCCTCCACGTATCCCTTGCGCACAATCATATTCTGACTGTTTCCAGGCCTCAGATCTCGCCTCGACTTCCCGCGTCATAATCGCCATCGTCACAATAGCAAAGAATGCGAAGGACTGGAACTTGATGAACGAGCAGGTCCTGCTCCTCTCCAAGAAGCATGGACAGCTGAAGCAGGCCACCACCAAGATGGTGCAGACAGTCATGGGATTCCTGGATGAGACTCCAAACCTAGAGACAAAGCTGTCCGTCATCGAGACGCTGCGGACAGTCACAGAAGGCAAGGTAGGCGAACCCAACGAACAACATACAGGCTGTTGCTGACACGATGGTAGATCTTCGTCGAAGTCGAGCGTGCCCGAGTAACCCGCATCTTGTCCAACATCAAGAAGGAGCAGGGCGATATCGATTCAGCGACGGATATCCTTTGTGAGCTGCAAGTCGAGACCTTTGGTTCCATGACCCGTCGCGAGAAGACCGAATTCATCCTACAACAAGTGGCGCTATGCATACAAAAGGGCGACTGGACACAGGCCGGTATTCTGAGCAGGAAGATTAGCACACGGTACTTTGCGCGGAGACCGAAGAAGACCCCCGAGCAGCTGGAGAAGGACCAGAAGGAGCGGGAAGAAAAGGAGAAGAACCGGAGCGCCGACGACCCGCCCATTGAGCCTGAGGACGATGTAACGGACCTGAAGCTCAAGTACTACGAGCAGCAGATTACCCTGGCCAAGCACGACAACAAGTACCTGGACGTCTGCAAGCACTACCGACAAGTACTGGATACCGAGGCTGTGGAGGAGGACCCCAACAAGCTTCGAGCAGTATGTTCAGAGGCCTGGTCACATTTGCAGCTCTTACTAACATAACTGCAGATCCTCCAGCGCGTCATCTACTTCATCATACTCGCACCGTACGACAACGAACAGTCCGATCTCATCCACCGCATCCAACGCGACTCGCGCAACTCTCAGATCCCACAAGACGCACAATTAGTTAAGCTCTTCACTGTGCCTGAGTTGATGAGGTGGCCGATGGTTGCGAAGCAGTTCGGGCCTCACCTCACGGAGACTGATGTATTCGACGCGGAGAAGGACGACTCGGATGACCCCAAGGCATTCCAGAGGTGGCAGGATCTCCGCAAGCGTGTCATCGAGCACAACGTTCGCGTCGTGGCCAAGTACTACACACGTATTCAGATCCCACGCTTGACAGAGCTGCTAGATCTGACCGAGGATGAGACGGAGAAGAACATTAGCGAGCTGGTGTCTGCAAAGACCATCTACGCCAAGATTGACCGACCCGCCCGCATCGTCACTTTCTCGAAGCCCAGGGACGCAGACGATGTGCTGAACGAATGGAGTGGAAACATGAAGAGTTTGTTGGGTCTGCTCGAGCGCGTTGACCATCTCATCACCAAGGAGGAGATGATGGCGCGAATTCAACCCACAAAGGTGGACAAGAGCAAGGCGGCCAAGGGCAAGGCGAAATAGGATTCGCGAAGACCCTCAGGTATCGGCAATCGATGCACGAAGTTTGGGCAGCAATTGGTAGTCTAACAGCCTTGCAAGGTACAGCACTCACGATGATGATGGATGAGAAGTGGCACGATAGTCTATGAATGAGTGCGTATGCAAGATGACCACGAAGTTCAAGTGTTGACCGATGCGCTGCATCGGTTTACGCTTGACAAGTCGGACTGCTGGTCTGAGCGCATGAAGGAAGAATCAGATAACCTAGGCATCTGCTGTAGGATAGTAAAACAAATGAAAGCAACCGCTAGAACAAGAATTCGTCATGAAATATGTGCATCGTATAACACTCTCCTTCGAGCGCTTCTATTGTTACTGATGGACAGCATCTGCGCGTTGCATCATCTGCCAAGCCACTTAAGTGCCGACGCGGACTAGCGCAACGCGTCCGACGCGTCCCTTCCTTCCCCGGGATTTGGCAGCGACAGCCGTTGAGAGCACTAGACTCTCAATACCTCACTTTGTGCATCCCCATACCACCGCAATCATGGTTCGTGGCGTGGAAGGCAATGAGATGTCGACACCTCGCGCTTCACAGAAGAAGCAGCCCGCCTCCGCGTCGCAATCGGCCAAGGGCCAAAAGTCCATCCTAGGGTTCTTCCAGAAGAAGTCTACCAACTCACCAAGCCCCGCGCCGTCCGATGCCACACCAGTCAACAAGACGCCTACATCGAAATTGGCGAAGAAGGCCTTCGACAAGCCGCCTGCCGCCATCACTCCCGTACCAAGCAGCGACGCTCCCGATTACTCGAGTCCCATCAAACAGGAGCATGAATTGACAGTGGGGAGGAACAAGGAGAACATACTGGCCAAGCATACAGATGCCATTCCCAGTAGCCCAACACGCAAGGTACGCGAGACGTGCCATTGCGTACCCAACTGCATTTACTGACATTCTATTTCAGGCACGAAAGCCCGTCAACTACGCCGAGTCAGATGACGACGACGAAGATGTGCTGGGTCCAATTGCAAACAATGCGAGAGGTAGAGCTACGAAACGCCAGCGAGTCACCATCGAAGACGATTCAGATGACGAGTTCGGATTAGACGCGGCCACACAGAAGGCAATGCTCGAGGAAGACGACGACGATGTTGATGACTTCGTTGTCCCAGACGATTCCGATGAGGAAGTCGTCTCAAAGAAGCGCAAACGTTCAGCAGCACCCAAGGCTCGTACTAAAGCATCCCCAGCATCGTCACCACCTATGATCGAGGCGAAGGATGAAGAGGACGATGGCGACGTCGTAATGAATAGCACGTCCACCGCACAGCAATGGATCTACGATCCGGAAAACCCAATGGTGTTCAAGCCTCGCACAGCTGTACAAGCAACGAGAAAAGACCCCAGCAAGAAGATCAAAGAACGACCGAGCGCTTCTGAACCCGAGACGAGATACCCATGGCTCGCACACCAGATGGACGCTGATCGGCATCCAGTCGATCATCCCGACTACGACCCCCGCACACTTTTCATCCCCCCAGGTGCTTGGGATAAGTTTTCTGCTTTTGAGAAGCAGTATTGGGAGATTAAGAGCAAGTGGTGGGACACCGTCGTCTTCTTCAAGAAGGGCAAGTTCTACGAGCTCTATGAGAAGGATGCTTCTATAGGCCACCAACTCTTCGATCTCAAATTGACTGATCGGGTCAATATGAGGATGGTCGGTGTACCAGAGGCTTCCTTGGACATGTGGGCTACCCAGTTTGTAGCAGCAGGCCACAAGGCTGCTAGAGTTGACCAAATGGAGTCGGCTCTAGGCAAGGAGATGCGTGAGCGTGACGACAAGGGCAAGACGCCAAAGAAGGGTGGCAAGGAAAATAAAGTGATCCGAAGAGAGCTGGCTACAGTACTCACTTCGGGTACACTTGTGGATACCGGCATGCTTCAGAGCGAGATGTCGACATACTGCATGGCCATTAAGGAGATCGACCGCGACAACCTGCCAGCCTTTGGAATTGCCTTTGTCGATACTGCTACTGCACAGTTCCAGCTTTGCGAGTTCACTGACGATGTCGATATGACCAAGTTCGAAACCCTCATTGCGCAGATGAGGCCCGGTGAGCTACTCCTGGAGAAATCATGTGTGTCTGCGAAAGCTCTGCGGATACTCAAGAACAACACGCCACCCACAACTATCTGGAACTATTTGAAGCCCAACAAGGAGTTCTGGCCAGCAGACATCACCATCCGAGAGATTGAAGCGAACAACTACTTTGAGTCACCCACAGAAGACAACATTGAGGCATGGCCACCGGTCCTCCGTGAAGCCCGAGAGCAGGAGCTGATCATGTCGTCATTTGGTGCTCTTCTTCAATACCTGCGGACGCTGATGATCGAGCGCGATCTGGTCACACTCGGAAACTTTCAGTGGTACGACCCCATCCGGAAAGCCACAAGTCTGGTCCTCGACGGCCAGAGCTTGATCAACCTGGAGATTTTCGCCAACACGTTCGATGGATCAACCGAGGGTACTCTGTTCGCTATGCTGAACCGCTGCATCACCCCATTCGGCAAGCGATTACTGCGACAATGGGTGTGTCATCCTCTCGCAGATGCAGCCAAGATCAACGCTCGCCTAGATGCTGTTGATGCACTGAATGCCGATTCTACCATCATGGACAATTTCAGTGCGTCCCTTAGCAAGTTGCCAGATCTCGAGCGTCTCATTTCTCGTGTGCATGCGGGCCGATGCAGAGCGCAAGACTTCCTCAAGGTGCTGGAGGGTTTCGAGCAGATTGAGTATACCATTAGCCTGTTGAAGCAGTTCAGCGAGGGTGAAGGTATCATTGGTCAACTTATCTCCTCTATGCCTGACCTGGCTGCGTCTCTATCCAAATGGAGTTCAGCTTTCGATCGAGACATCGCACGGAAAGAAGGACTACTCATTCCTGAGCCTGGCATCGAAGAAGACTTTGATAACAGCCAGGAGGAGATCGACACCTGCAAAGCAAATCTCGATGTATTGTTGAAGAAGGCCCGCAAAGAGCTCGGCTCTAATGCTGTTCAATACAACGACATTGGCAAGGAAATTTACCAACTAGAGGTACCCAAGAAGGTCAAAGTTCCCAACAACTGGGATCAAATGTCCGCCACTGCCAAGGTTACTCGCTACTACACTCCCGAACTGAGGAAGCTGGTGCGAGCACTACAAGAAGCGCAGGAGACGCATGGTCAGATTACACGCGAAGTTGCCACTCGCTTCTGCCAACGCTTCGATGAGGATTACAAGGTCTGGCTCGCGGCAGTCAAGATCATCGCTCAACTGGATTGCCTGATCAGTCTCGCAAAGGCGTCTGCTTCACTCGGAGAGCCCAGCTGTCGTCCAGTGTTCGAGGAGGGTAACCGAACTGTCGTTGAGCTAGAAGAGCTTCGTCACCCATGCATGCTCAACACAGTCGACGACTTCATTCCCAACGACATCAGACTAGGCGGCGACTCTGCCAACATCAGTTTACTGACTGGTGCCAACGCAGCCGGTAAATCGACTATCCTTCGTATGACTTGCATAGCGGTCATCCTCGCACAGGTCGGTTGTTATCTGCCTTGCACATCCGCCAGACTCACACCTGTCGACCGCATCATGTCCCGTCTCGGCGCCAATGACAACATCTTCGCAGCTCAATCCACCTTCTTTGTCGAGCTGTCAGAAACACAGAAGATACTTTCGGAAGCGACTCCTCGATCTCTTGTTATTCTCGACGAGCTCGGTCGCGGTACATCCTCTTACGACGGTGTGGCCGTTGCGCAAGCCGTTCTGCACGACATCAGCACACGCGTGGGCTGCGTCGGGTTCTTCGCCACTCACTACCGTTCTCTAGCTAAGGAATTCGAGTTCCACCCTGAAGTCGTGAATAAGCGTATGCGGATTCACGTGGATGATGCTTCCAAGTCCATCACCTTCCTCTACAAGCTTGAGGAGGGTGTCGCCGAAGGTAGTTTCGGCATGCACTGCGCGGCCATGTGCGGTATCCCAAGCAAAGTCATCGAAAACGCAGAGAAGGCGGCTAGAGAGTGGGAGCACACGAGTAGGCTGGGAGAGAGGATGGAAGTCAACAAGGACGAGGGAGGTGTTTACGTGCCGCTGGGTCTACAGAGTGACGTTGCTTGGACTCTCAGGGAGGGCTTGGAGGGAATCGGTGATCGGGCGCTGGATGTGCTGCTCGAAGCTATCTCCGCGCTCTGAGTGTCTGATATGTGAGAAAAGCATGTAAGATAGATGTATCGAAGGCGCAACATGGGCGATCGGGAATGGGATGTATTCATATGGGAAAGAGGGATCGGATCTAGGTCAGGCTAGCGTTCTGCTGTAATCATATCCCGTAGTTAGCGTATCGCAAGCCAGTTCACACATTCAGACCACATCAAATACATCCAGCCAGGCGATGACAATGCCGCAAAACTTGGAAGACGTCCTAGTTTCGTGGCAGCCTGGAGGTATTCAGTATATCTCACGACGTCACGTTTTCCCGGCAGACCACGCGAATTACACCAGGCATATATGAAATTTGAAGAAATGACTACAATCACTACGATGTAGTCGTCAGCCCACCCCATGAAAACGCCATACAAGCCCATACTTTTTCCGCATTCCAGTCGAATACGCATTCCTCTCTCCCCGTCATCACCTTCCTATCCCCACCCCTCCATACCCCTCACCTCCTACTCATCCTCCTCCAACTGTACCGTACGGTACCCGTTAGACGCATTCCGACCAGATCCCTTAGCAGCACCACCACCACCAAAGGTCTCAATGCCATCGAGGAAACCGTAGCTCATGCTGGCATCGCGACTGGGAACATCTTCCTCAACGAGATCGAAGCCGTCGTCAAAGGCAGGTTCTTCCTTCTTGACTTTGGGACCGTTGAGGCCGAAGTCGTCGTCATCGTCGTCGTCATTAGCGGAGGCCTCGTTAGAGGACGTCGGATGGCGGGCAGCACGGCGCTTGGAAGCAGAGCCGGGAGCG